CCTCAAAAGGTTGGTAAAAATTGTTACTTCTGTCTGTTAAAATTAGTTCAGCTGTTATTAGTGGGTTAAATATAGATAATTGGATAATTAATTCTTGAGCACTTAAATCCTCAAACCCTTTATGACATGTTTACTAACTTGAAATCGAAGCGAGCATGAGTCAGAGTGATTTTATGCAAGCTCCATTCTTTTAGGTGGGCCATCCTTAAATAATAGGCAAGACTGAAAGTTTTTGTACCATACACGAAGATGTTCTTATAGCTGAGTAGTCTTTGTCCAACATGATCTTGATTCAATAGGTCGGCTTGAGTTGGTTCGATTTTATTTATTTAAATTTGACGGTCGAAGATTAGAATGGGTAGGGTCTTGATTTAATTTTTTGGAAAATGATCTTGAACGTTTTTCCAACTAATTGGACGTAATGAGAGAATATCTTATCATTTAATTGGTTATGAATTTGTTAGACGTGGACGCCAACATATTAGACTAACTGGTATGATAATTTTTTTATTTGCACATCAGATGGCGTTGAAAAGTTATGTTAAGTGAGATTTACATCTAAGCCATCTACTCATCAAATAGGCATCAATTCATGTAGTTCAACACATAAAGGTCCCATCGAATAGGAAATGGTTATATTTTAATTTATTTTGTTTTATTTTTAATAAATTTTAGGGGGTTGGAAGACGTGCCATTATTTTCGAACTTGAAACCACTAATCTCTACTAAGTTTGTTGGACTTTAACCAGAAATTGCGTCTACAGCAATTTGATTGAGACATAAACCAAACAGATTACATGAACTTAAGACACATTAAAACTTCAACCTAATCAGACAAACACAAACCAACCAAGTAAATTGTCCTGGCCGGTATAAAAACATTTCTGACAGAGTTTGGTGCTTCACTTTCCAAAGTTGACACATATTTCTTTATGTTTTTTTTTTCTATTGTCTATGCTAAGCATATGACGAACATATAAAGCTCACCATGAATTTAAATTTCTCCCTTGAAAGTTCAAGAAGAAACAATTAAGACAAAAACGATAATTTGCAAAGACAGAACCAATAAATCTTTACCAATCTTAATCTACTCAAAAACCTAATTAAAAGCATAGTAAAATGTAGTTTTCATAAGTCTGTTTTTCTTAATAAATGATAGTAACACTGGTCCATACCCCACACTGGTTCATACCCTTTCGTTTTTTTCGTTTTACCCTACAACAACTGGTCCCCTAGGTGATAGGACCCTTACCTTATAGCACATTTAGTGCTTTGCGTCAGAGGGATGAAGAGTGTACCCACAAGGGCCATGACCAGCTTAAAGTTAAGAGCGTTTATTTATAAAACTATAAGAAAAAATTACTGGAGTTCATAGATCCAGTAGTTAAGAGTATTTACTTGTATATGAGATTCTAGGTTCGATTCCCCTTTTACTGAACATCGCATGTATAAAATGTATATATATATATATATATATATTCTAAGAAAAAACTAACTTTTCCTTATAAAAAATACAAAGAGAGATCGAGAATTATATGCCTCCTGATAATGACACCAAAAAATATGTGTCCACCGCGAGTGTATCTAGGGCTCTGTTACTGTTAATGGATTGCGTACCTTATGTGTCAAGAGTGAAACCCAGAAGAAGAAAAAAAAGTTGCACACGAAAATAAGTCCAAAAACAAGTACATCAATTGGCCCACATGAAGGTAACTGATGATGAGGGGCAACTTTTTAATGATTAATCTAGTTCATGTTTAGGGGTATCTGTTTTGGGAGTCCCTCATTAATTGGGCGTTACACCTCTCACTGCTTATGAGGTACCCTCTCATAAACTCATGATTTTTAATTTATTTTTTCTTAATGCTATTGGTGGAAATCAAACTATCAATCAAGATACCTAGTACTCTCTTTTCAACGTCAAAAGAGGTTTCAATCTTGAATCCCCTCACCGAAAGTTGATGTGACAAATTCTAAATCCTATTGTTTTTTAAATTATTTTGTTAGAGCTAATATCTATGGATGGCCAAACACGTATGTATTTACGAAGGCAATAGGCGAGATGCTTATAGGAGACCTAAAAGAAAATCTACCTCTGGTCATTTTACGGCCAACCATCATCACCAGCACTTACAAAGAACCTTTTCCTGGTTGGGTTGAAGGAATCAGGTGCGTTAATCGAAAAATCCTTCCTTATTAGTATGAATTAGTTAGTTCTTTATCATCTGCAATGATGAGAGTCATTTCAATTTTATTTTAATAAATTGAACTTTTGATTTGCAGTGGTAAAATTAAGTTCATTTCAAAGATCAATATTTCATTTTAGGGATCAATAGTTCATTTTAGAGGTTAATAAAATGAACTCTGAAATGAAATTCATTTCCCGCTATAATAACTCTACAACCTCTCTCTTACTGACACATGGACAACATTAGTTTTTAATTTATAAGCTATTGAACTGCACCACAGCAAGTGAAACTACAGTTCAGTTCAATAGTTGCCAAAAAAATTCAATAAATTGAACTGTAGAACTGATCTGAAATGAACTGTTGCGGATGCTCTCATCTGTTAATTTTTGTACCGCATGCAGAACCATCGATAGCCTTGCAGTTGGTTATGGCAAAGGAAAATTAACATTCTTTCTCTGCGACATTAATGCAATTGCTGACGTGGTGAGTTAACCAACAGTTCTTCAATTTATTATTGTTATTATTATTATTATTCATACCCTTTTATCTCCAAGCATGCATTTGGAAAGCATCATGTTCGTCGTATAAAAATGGAAACATACATACTTGCTTCTTAAAAAAAAATAAAAAATAAAAAATCACAGATTGACATCCACGCAGAAAGAAGGCAACTAATTAATGAATGCATTTCTTTCATTATATTCTTAAGGATTGTTTTAAAAAAAGAATTATTTGATGCAGGTACCTGCTGACATGGTGGTGAATGCAATAATTGCGGCAATGGCTGCTCATGCAAATCAACCTGGTGAAGTAATTTATCAAGTGGGGTCCTCTATGAGAAATCCTGTAAAATACTCTAATTTTCATGATTACGGATTCCGTTTTTTCACCAAGAAGCCATGGATTAATAAAGATGGAACTCCAGTAAAAGTTGGCAAGGTCGCAGTTATGGGAAGCATGACTACCTTTCACCGATACATGACTATCCGTTACTTACTATTACTAAAGGTAAAGTTTTTTTTTCTAGATTTTGCTTCACAACTTAGACAGCCATGCATTGCCAATATGTTTATAATACAGAATTGGTTTAGCCAGCCCAAACATACACTAATAATTTTTCAATTATGGCCTGTGTGCCACTTTGCCCGTAACATGACATGACATGTTGACTTAGTATGTATTATTAGTTCATATAGATTAAAATCCATACCGAGTATAAAGTTCACCATTTAGAGTTTAGGGTTTAGATATAAATAAATATGCACATGCTATAATATTTTAGTTGCACTTGTAGTACCATGTGAGTATGTCACGTACCGTACGCAGTCGTATCCTCAATAAAATGCCCATTATTATATTTTACTATATAGCTCTAAAATTTTATTTATTCTATCTTGATATTGTATTTTTTGTCAATTTCTTTTTCCCACAATAGGGATTGGAGGTGGTTAATACAGCATTTTGCCAGTACTTCAAGGGCACGTATGTGGATCTCAATCGAAAGATCAAATTTGTGATGAGATTGGTGGAACTTTATAGACCATACTTGTTTTTCAAAGGAGTGTATGTACATATGATTCCTTTATCTTGTCCTTCATGTCATTTTACCTAGCTGGAAAATATAATTTTGATTTATAACTATGACCTAATTTCTTGCATGCAGCTTCGATGATATGAACACATTGAAGTTGCAAATGGCAGTGCGAGAAAACACCACAGAGGCAGATATGTTTTACTTTGATCCAAGCTGCATAAATTGGGACGATTACTTCATGAATATCCATCTTCCTGGGGTTGTCAAATACGTTTTCAAATGATCACCAAAATTGGGTTGTTGACTATATACATACATATGGTTTGAAATGGGTGGAATTGGAGCGCTCTAGCCATTGTATTTACTCAAGGCAGTATACAATGGCTCCCTAGATGCATTATAAATTTCAATCAAGTTTATGAATTGTATTTGCTTTCATGAATATGAATATGATGATGAACAATTGTTTGTCACCAAATGTAATTTGTTATAATATGGAAAGTGTCAACAACTTAAGTAGTTGTTAAATAAAGTTTGTCTTTTTAGCAAGATATTTATCTTCTTTGTTTTAACGGTACGAGGAAATTTTATAATAAATGAAAATTTGGATATTCGGATGTGGAGTAAAACAAAGAATTGTAGGAAACTTAAGAACGATTTTAATATGAAATTTAACATAGCAATGTTCTCAATTTTAGTCAACATTGATTTTACATCCAAGATCATTTTCAAGAGTGATATGGTTACATAGGAAGCAGCGCAAACCTAGGCCGCTTCAAATTACAAGCCCAATAGTCTCCCCTTTTTATCTGATACTAGGAATCACCAAAGGGTTCGGTTGGGGTTGGCTTATTTTGGCCCATTGGCTTTTATTTTGAACTTCTATTTTCAACTATTGACTAATTTGTAATTTTTTTTATATAAACGAGAAACGAGGTATTTGTAACTTTTTTTAATATTGAGAAGAGAAGTATCACTAAACTAGCTATTTATGCTGTTATAATACTAAGGCAGGAGGAGTTGAACCTTGATAGGAGAAGTTAGCTATGTGGAAACAATTAAAGTGTCCCATGCTCCCGTTGTTTGGGAAGAAAAGTATCACTAAACATTTAGTGCAATAAATTATCAATATGCACATGCCAGTAGTGTTACGATACATAAAATCATTTTTGACAAATGTCATATCAAATTAAGTATTTGAAAATGATTTTTTCAATCACCAGCAACATATGGATGCTACAAGATCCAAGCACGACATATATATAGAAAAGGTGGGTTTAAGTTTCTGTAAATAAATGAACAATATGATGGTTTACAGATACAATCATCCATATATTAATTGTTCTAGCTGAGAGTATTACTGGCTGAGGAATTTGGCTAGTTTCCATGTATATTGTAAACTTATAACGCATGCGTACAAAAACATTATTTTATTATCTAATGGCAATCTATCGACTCTTCTGGCTATCACTTAACCATAACATGCTTTCGGAGGCCATGGATGTGAGTATTCATAATGTAGTCTTCCCAATCAATGCAATTCGGATCAAAGTTAAATATGTTTGCATCTATGTAACTCTCACTTGCCACCTTTTGTAGCTCCTCCGAATTGGTGTCGTCAAAGCTACAATCAAAACACGTTAGTTGTCAGTGACGGAGCTAGAATTTTTAATAATTGAGGTGCCAAAATCTAAAACTTAACTATAAACGACTTTATGATCTTAAATCAGGCCCGTCACTAGTTTAATTGTGAAATAGTATCATATGTTTTTTTCTTTCCCAATGTTAGGAAGGGTTATAAAAGGGATGAGGGCGAAGTTCACTTCAGACTTGACTTTGGCTTCGTCCTTTGTATAATTACAATTAAATGATAAAACTCTATCTTTAACCACAAAAGTAGAGAATACGTACATGCCCTTGAATAACATATACGGTTTGTATAGCTCTACGAAGCGCATCACCAATTTGAGTTTTCGGCTATAGTTAACGTATGCATCTTGGAAATACTGGCCACATGCTTTGTTTACGAACTTTAATCCCTTCAAATAAGAATAAGTCAAAGGAAATTAACGAACAGAGAAAAAACTATAGCAAGTTTGATATTATAAATGATCACATATAGTGATAGAACAAACCTCCAAAGGTATCATGAAGCAAATTTGCATGTACATCCGGAAAGTAGCCATAGTGCTGAACATTGTGCACTTGCCAACCTTAACAAGGTTTCCATCTTTGTCAACCCACGGATCTTTGGTGAAATGCCGAAACACAAAATCGTGAATACTATTTATTTTTATAGGATTTCTAAATGAGGACCCCACATGGTAAATGACAATAGAAGATTGATTTGCATTCACTGCCATCGCTGAAATTATTGAGTTTACCACCATGTCAACAGGGATCTGCGTTATTTCAAACATTTAACCCTTCTTTAGTCTTATACATATAAATATATAACCAACAAATAGGGATATGAGTGTAAACTCACCATATCAAATACTGTCGAAGGATCAGCAAGTAGGCATGTGAGCTTCCCCTTACAATAACCGGCAATTACGCTATCAATGGTTCTGTAATCACCAAGAATAAAGACATATACACAAATTTAGTTGGTATTTGCACCAATTATGGTTCATGCTCAAAATGTAGCAACATAAGAATTTGTATGACAAGATAAGTTTGGTAAGAGAATACTATTTTTGTTTTAATTTTGTTTTTGTTTTTTTTATGGAGAGAGAATACTACTTACGTTAAAAAGACTATGAAGATAAATATAGAGAGTATTAGTCAAGGACGGATCTAGAATTTTAAAATGGACTGAACTGAATTTACTTTACAAACAAACCCGACGACACAAGCGAATCTGATTGATTACAAAAAATGATATACACGTAGTCAGGAAAGGCCATATGATACAAAGAATTTTGAATTGGTGTGCCTCGCTCGCAGCAGTCCATTTTGGTTCTCTATGTCTGCTCTCTGTTTCTCACGTTATTATTATTTGTTTTTAAATGGGTATGGGCTATAGCTCATACAGCCCTCCCCTATGGGCATAGATTCATCCCTGGGTATGGGTTATTAACTAGACGTAAATCAAACTCTTAGTTGACCAAATTCGGAATTTAGAAGAATATTATTTTCTTACGTAGTAAATTGTAGGGTTAATGATAGTTCAGAACGTAAAATTTGTAGGTGCAGGCAGAGCTCATTACCTAAAACCTTGAATCCAACCTGGAAATGGCTCTTTGTAAGTGCTGGTAACCACAGTTGGGCGAATGATAACTACAGGAAGCTCATCTTTTGAGCGCCTTAGAAATACTTCTCCCATCGCCTTTGTAAATACGTAGGTGTTTGGCCATCCATAATGTTTAGCCCTAATTATTTTTGTATAAAAGAAAGACAAATAGTAATTAGCATGAGAGAAAACTTTAATTCCAAAGGCACAATATTGTAGAAATATTGTTAATAATGTCAGCCTAATTTTCCCTTTTGATTCAGCCCGGGAAAATTAGGCCAAATAGAAAGATGAATGCCAAAATCTTTTCATAGTGGACAATTAGATATATCAATACCTTTCAATGCCAAAATCCTTCATTGTGCTTGTAATATCTTCTTCTGAAGCACCTCGTGCTTTTAGTTCAGTCAATTTCTTCTCCACGACGATCTTTTCTTGTGCTTTGAAATCAAATTTGATGGTTTTCTTTACTATGTCATCCGTTAATGAAGGTGAGTCCTCTGGTATGAGTCCTACTCTCTCACCACACACATAAGCTGGAAAATATACATATCAGTTAACCAAATCCAAAGACATCAAAACCAATATATATATATACACAAATTCTCCTATGCCGTCTGGACGTTATTACCGTGTGGATGCCATGTATTTTCAACTACATCTCCCTGCTTTCCTCCCTGATTACAATGACATTCGCATGGTAATAACATGCAATAAAACTCTATCTTTAACCACAAAAGTAGAGAATACGTACATGCCCTTGAATAACATATACGGTTTGTATAGCTCTACGAAGCGCATCACCAATTTGAGTTTTCGGCTATAGTTAACGTATGCATCTTGGAAATACTGGCCACATGCTTTGTTTACGAACTTTAATCCCTTCAAATAAGAATAAGTCAAAGGAAATTAACGAACAGAGAAAAAACTATAGCAAGTTTGATATTATAAATGATCACATATAGTGATAGAACAAACCTCCAAAGGTATCATGAAGCAAATTTGCATGTACATCCGGAAAGTAGCCATAGTGCTGAACATTGTGCACTTGCCAACCTTAACAAGGTTTCCATCTTTGTCAACCCACGGATCTTTGGTGAAATGCCGAAACACAAAATCGTGAATACTATTTATTTTTATAGGATTTCTAAATGAGGACCCCACATGGTAAATGACAATAGAAGATTGATTTGCATTCACTGCCATCGCTGAAATTATTGAGTTTACCACCATGTCAACAGGGATCTGCGTTATTTCAAACATTTAACCCTTCTTTAGTCTTATACATATAAATATATAACCAACAAATAGGGATATGAGTGTAAACTCACCATATCAAATACTGTCGAAGGATCAGCAAGTAGGCATGTGAGCTTCCCCTTACAATAACCGGCAATTACGCTATCAATGGTTCTGTAATCACCAAGAATAAAGACATATACACAAATTTAGTTGGTATTTGCACCAATTATGGTTCATGCTCAAAATGTAGCAACATAAGAATTTGTATGACAAGATAAGTTTGGTAAGAGAATACTATTTTTGTTTTAATTTTGTTTTTGTTTTTTTTATGGAGAGAGAATACTACTTACGTTAAAAAGACTATGAAGATAAATATAGAGAGTATTAGTCAAGGACGGATCTAGAATTTTAAAATGGACTGAACTGAATTTACTTTACAAACAAACCCGACGACACAAGCGAATCTGATTGATTACAAAAAATGATATACACGTAGTCAGGAAAGGCCATATGATACAAAGAATTTTGAATTGGTGTGCCTCGCTCGCAGCAGTCCATTTTGGTTCTCTATGTCTGCTCTCTGTTTCTCACGTTATTATTATTTGTTTTTAAATGGGTATGGGCTATAGCTCATACAGCCCTCCCCTATGGGCATAGATTCATCCCTGGGTATGGGTTATTAACTAGACGTAAATCAAACTCTTAGTTGACCAAATTCGGAATTTAGAAGAATATTATTTTCTTACGTAGTAAATTGTAGGGTTAATGATAGTTCAGAACGTAAAATTTGTAGGTGCAGGCAGAGCTCATTACCTAAAACCTTGAATCCAACCTGGAAATGGCTCTTTGTAAGTGCTGGTAACCACAGTTGGGCGAATGATAACTACAGGAAGCTCATCTTTTGAGCGCCTTAGAAATACTTCTCCCATCGCCTTTGTAAATACGTAGGTGTTTGGCCATCCATAATGTTTAGCCCTAATTATTTTTGTATAAAAGAAAGACAAATAGTAATTAGCATGAGAGAAAACTTTAATTCCAAAGGCACAATATTGTAGAAATATTGTTAATAATGTCAGCCTAATTTTCCCTTTTGATTCAGCCCGGGAAAATTAGGCCAAATAGAAAGATGAATGCCAAAATCTTTTCATAGTGGACAATTAGATATATCAATACCTTTCAATGCCAAAATCCTTCATTGTGCTTGTAATATCTTCTTCTGAAGCACCTCGTGCTTTTAGTTCAGTCAATTTCTTCTCCACGACGATCTTTTCTTGTGCTTTGAAATCAAATTTGATGGTTTTCTTTACTATGTCATCCGTTAATGAAGGTGAGTCCTCTGGTATGAGTCCTACTCTCTCACCACACACATAAGCTGGAAAATATACATATCAGTTAACCAAATCCAAAGACATCAAAACCAATATATATATATACACAAATTCTCCTATGCCGTCTGGACGTTATTACCGTGTGGATGCCATGTATTTTCAACTACATCTCCCTGCTTTCCTCCCTGATTACAATGACATTCGCATGGTAATAACATGCAGACATCCAGATGAGAGAATAACTATATATATATATATATATATGTTAGGTTATGTTTAGTTAATGTCCTTGACAACTTTGTAATTGCACATGTAATTCATCAAGCTCTAGTTTAATTAGACTAGGATAGTCTAGGTTACATATATATATATATATATATATATATATACAGTACCCTTCTATTGAGGGATCCCTCAAATAATTTTATTTGAGGGACACCATTTAGGATCCCCTACGATTTTATTTTTTTTAACAATCCAAACCATCTAATTTTTAAGTCTACATTCATAGATCATCCTTGCAAAAAATTAGACAAATTGGAAACTATTTCGACATTTAATTGTATCCTACAAAATCAATGAACAATGTGCTTCAAGAAAGTACTAAATTTCAATATCCAATTGATTGGTAAAATGATATCGGATTCAAGTGATTTTTTGTAGAGATGATCTTTGAATGAATATTTACAAAATATACGTTTGGATTAGTGAAATACAATACGAAGTGGGCCATACAAGGGTGTCTCTCAAATAAGCTTATTTGAGGGATTCCTCAATTGAAGCTTCCTGTACACACACACACACACACACACACACACACACACACACACACACAGCTTTAGTTGAGGGACACTCTTGTAGGGCCCACACCGCATTGTGTTTCACTAATCCAAACCATCTATTTTTTAGATAATCATTCAAAGATCATCTCTACAAAAAAATCATTTCAATCCGATGTCATTTGACCACTCAATTGAGTTATTGAAATTTTAGTACTTTCTTAAAGTATCATGTTCATTGATTTTATAGGACACAATTTTTTGCAAAGATGATCTATGAATGTAGTCTTAAAAAATAGATGTTTGGATCATTGAAAACAAATTCATAAGAAACCCTAAAGGATGTTTAGGTCTTCATTCATAGATCATCCTTATAAAAAATTAGACAAATCGGAAACCGTTTCGACATCCAATTGTGTCTTACAAAATCAATGAACACGGTGCTTTAAGAAAGTACTAAAATTTCAATAACTCAATTGAGTGGTCAAATGATATCGGATTCAAGTGATTTTTTGTAGAAATGATATTTGAATGAGTATCTACAAAATAGACTTTGGATTAGTGAAATACAATCCGGAGTGGGGCCTATAAGGGGTGTCCCTCAAATAAGCTTATTTGAGAGATCCCTCAATGGAAGCTCTCTGTCTATATATATATATATATATATAAGAGAAAAAGACAAATTTAGTCAAAGAAAACGTTAACAAAAGCCAACCAGTTGATACGTGGAGAAGCATCTCTAGCTTTAAACATTTCTTTGCAAAGCTCACCACATGCAGAATTCCAAATGTATTGACGTCCAGCGCAATATCATATCTGCACACAAATATATGAACAGGTTAATTTTGATTAATTGAAGAGAATTATATGTTACAAATATTGCATATATTACCTTTCATCAAAGTTGGTCGTTGCAGCAGAATTAAGTATGATTTCTGTTTCATTGCACATTTCTTCCGTCAATTTGAAGTCTTTCACTCCAAGGTTTTCAGAAGTTACATCTCCCGCGACAGCCGCAACTTTGTGCGATACAAAGGAATCAAAATCCGCACCATGTTTGTCCCTGAGAACTCTGAACAACTCCTTTCCGAGGATCTTAAGTTTTATGAAAATATATTAATAAAATTATTTGACCAGTAATTCAAAGTATATGAAAATGCAATAGCATTTTTTTGTAATAATAATGGTAGTGAAATATAAACCTCATTGTGCATGCGATTCGTGGCTGAGTTGGTATTGGAAGCTCTTAAAAGAAGATAGATCTTTTTCACATCTGGTTGAACCCTTAGTATTTTCTCCACAAATACTGCATGGATAATTATAAAATAAAGTTACGATTAATAACACCACGTCACGGTAGATAGAGAGGGATAGGGAGAGAGAGATGGTATACCCATTGCAAGGAAGCCAGTGGCTCCAGTAACCAAAATGGTCTTGTTCTGAAGATATGCTAGTATGCTCTTCAACTCCATTGGGGAGAGAGAGAGAGAGAGAGAGAGAGAGAGAGAGAGAGAGAGAGAGAGAGAGAGAGAGAGAGTGTGGGAGAG